TCGAATGGACAAAGTCAGATAATACATACTTCGCCTTATCAAATTCATGACAATTCGTCTTTCCGTACTCATGGGAAATTCACATATACATGATTTGATGTGATTGATTCGTTTTTTTACGGCTTGTCAACCCTTTGCAGGTTATTTAAAGCCAGAAAATATTTTTTAGAGTGTAAGATTTTTTGTGGGTGTGGAGATAATAATTAATTAATTAATTAACCCATAGCTGGGGGGAGAAGACGTAGATTCATATGTTTCCCCATTGGTATTTGCCCCTAAGGGAATACAACAAACCCAGCTGGAATTAGAACTCGGTTCTTCGAGTAACAATTGCGAGCTATTATCCTTTACACCAGCCGCACATCCAAGTTTACAACACCTGGTATTCCCATGCAGTCTATCATGTAGGTATTGATGAGACATGACGTTTTTTAACTTAATTGTATTGCTGAAAGTAATACCTAACTCCTTTTGCCATGCTCTATCTTTGCAAGAGTCAGACCAGACCAAGAATGGAGTATTGCTGCTTTGTCTGGGTTGGAGCTGCCTAACTTTTCGCTATTCATATCTAACTAATCGCTATTCTATCGCTATTTTATGGTAAATGTTCACATGAGCTACAACGTTTAGTTTAATGATGTTTACAACTTGGGCCCGCCGTACCGCGTGAACAGAGTTAAATCTTCCTCCTCCCCTTCGTATTCCATCGTTAAGAAAGGGGATTCCATTCACACAGCTTAGAACGGTTACTTTTTAGAACAATCTCCCGAGTAGATATTCTCCGAACACTAAAATCTAAATCTTTTCACGCCTCAAGCTAAATATTATCTATCCTACATATTCTTATAATATGCATTTCTTACTTCCTCGTGAGCAACAATCTCATTCAGTAGATTTCTACCTTGAGTGGCTCTTGAACTTTTTATTGGAGGAACAATGATATAAAAGAATTACCATGTGGTGGGGTTCCGTCCCAATTGCAAGGAAATATATACAGCAAACTAGACCGGAATTTGAACTCGGCTTGCTAATTTTACTTGCTGAAGCCGATGTTACTCTACCGACACAGTCGCGTGGAAACAATTTTTAATTGCTCTTGTTCCCAGGTTCGTCCTCACTTAGCGTAGTGGCACCTGTTAGGATCCCAGCTACGGGCAAATAGTGAAGCCACAAACAAAAATCAACGATATATTTTTATAAGAAAATGACCAACAATATATATTTTTTAGCAAATAACCAACGGCACTAAAAACAACTATAAAAATACATTTTTATAATAAAATTATCAACAATATATTTTATGATCTAGAAACTAAATATCTAAAAAAAAAATATAACTTTAACCCGAAAGTATAAAATTAAGTACACGGCATCGGTATTTGAAAGAATAATATTACGTCCAGGATATTTAAATTTCGGCATTAAATAACCCATAGAGATGTTGATATGCCACTAAACAAAACTAACCAGTAACCTCTCAGCGGGGTTGTAAGGTCCGCCTTGAATATAGAACACAGTTGGCGACAAGGTTTGGAAAAGTTTAACAAATGTCACCACTCCCACTAAATAGGACAGTTTTTCTCTTGATACTGCTAATACGGTATATTATTTCGATAATTTTTATTGTTTTAAAAAGCTATTTTAAAGATATTAATAAAACCCAAACATATGAAATTGGATTTATACATTTTTTCTCGGCTCCTAACCGTATTTACCAAATTTATGTGGCAATTGCAAATAACAGAAATGTTCGGAAAAATACATTTTTTTCAAAATTTATGATTTCAGTTACACGTCGATATGAGTTTATTTAAAGTTCTTAGTTCACATCACACGATGTTATAAATTTATGTATTTTTATAACCTTACAGCATGCATGCGCATAGGGAAAGAGTTCAGCGAATATACAAAAATGGAAAGGAGCGTAAGGCAAGGATGCGTCTTCTCATCCGACCTGTTCAACCTATACAGCGAACCAATTCCGAGAGAATTGGAAACCCTACCGGGATTTAGCACTGGCGGCCACAATCTTAACAACATAAGATACGCAGATGACACAGTACTGATAGCAGACACGTAAAAGAAATTACAAAATCTCCTGCAGAAGGTAGCGACGGAGAGTGAGAAGAAGGGACTAAGCATAAACTACAAGAAGACAGAATGCATGGTCTTCAGTAAAAGGATGAACCCGAAATGTGATTTGAAGGTCGAGAACACTAGAATCAAGCAGACGCGGAAGTTTAAATATCTGGGAAGCGTTTTGACAGAGGACGGTAAGTGCGACACTGAGATCCGTAGACGTATTGGGATGGCCCAAGGACACATTCCAAAAGCTGGGCAGAGTACTGCGAGACAAAAGGATTTCATTGGTAACAAAGAAAAGAATACTGAGCGGTTACGTGACATCTGTCCTCCTTTACGGCAGCGAATGTTGGACGATTTTCTCAAAGATGAAGAAGAGTCTCGAGGCGACGGAGATGTGGTTCTACAGAAGGAGGCTAAGGATATCATGGACAATGATAAGGCCTTAGAGAGGTTGCAAACAAGGAGAGGGCTTATACTTAACATCAGGAAGAGGTAATTGAAGTTTCTAGGACATGTAATGAGGAAGGAGGGCCTGGAGAATCTGATACTCACGGGTCGAATAGAGGCAAAGAGAAACAAGGAAAAACATCGTGTGGCATACCTGGTGGGCTTAAACAAGTAGATGAGAGAACATGGTCTGGGGGAGGAAGCAGAGGGAAGGAACTTATTGAGAGCTACAAGGGATAGAGGGAGGTGGAGAGCCATGATTGCCTACATCCTGAAAGGACGTGGAACATAAAAAGAAAGAAAGTAATATAAAATTATTCTTTTAAATAAATAGTCTAATAAATAAATAGTGCTTAATATTTCTCGAGGAAAAAGACAATGAATAAATCGAGTTTGATAAATTTAACTTTTATTAAAATTCTAAAATATCTTTGTAAAATAATAAAAGTTAAAAGCGGCGTCACAAGAAAAACATCATTTTCGCACAGCGTTTATTTTGGGTACCTTTGTTAATATTTGTTCAACCATATATATATATATATATATATATATATATATATATATATATATATATATATATAGGCAAATGCTTCTTTCATGCAGATTTCATTGAATACGACAGGCAAGGTTCTATGATTTAGTTTTTATACAATATCTCATGTGATCTAATAATAATATAGTTTTAAGATATGGTGTATTTATAATTAAACGTGCTCAATATCGGCGATAGAAAGTATGTAAATGTAAAAGTGAATACTGACGTCAACACCAAGAAGCGACAGTCTGTTTAGAGAAGATGGCCTGCTTTTTAAACCTTTGAAGTAATGAAAATTTTGGATTACAACTAAATCGATTAATATATATATATATATATATATATATATATATATATATATATATATATATATATATATATATATATTATATATATATTATTCGGACTAGTGTCCTCATCTTTGTAGCCATATTTATTACAACGTTCCGGCCGTTATACGCTCCGGCCTTCTTCAGGTGGTTGGAATATCGAACTGAACACTTTATTTCGCTCACTGGGCTAGACTGTTCTAGTTTCACGTGCCATGTTTGATGGATGTCAGTTATCAGTTAAGGCAGTGGAGAACTTTCAGAGGGAAATTAACAGGAGATGACTGATCACTGACATCTATTAAACATGATATATATATACAGTCTGGAAACAAATATTCGTACATATACAAATGTTTAATGTTTTGTACTTCCAACTAATGAATAAACATACTTTTCACATAATTAACTGTACACAGATGCATAATATTTACTGAAAACAGAAAAAAATGTTGATTTAATAGAAATAAATTCCATTTATCTATTTTAATGGGTGAAAAATGTATTTGTACAGTTAATTATATGAAAAGTATATTTATTCATTAGATGGAAATACAATAAATAAAAAAATTTGGATGTGTACGAATATTTGTTTCCCCCATTATATATATATATATATATGTGTGTGTGTGTGTGTGTGTATGTGTGTGTGTGTATGTATATATATATATATATATATATATATATATATATATATATATGTGTGTGTGTGTGTGTGTGTATGTGTGTGTATGTGTGTGTGTGTGAGTGTGCTCGAGACAATACGCAACACAGATGGTCTGAAGATTGTGTTCACGCCTGAAACTCTTGTCGATCACTGTTGGCATCACATTCCACGTTTATATTTTGCTACGCTCTATGCCTGATATTGTGTACTTTTTCACATTAATATAACATAATTTAAAACTATATATTTATCATTCATATATACAGGGTGCGATGGATAAATTTACGTCTAAATTACGCAAGAATGACATTTCATTGTAAGAGATATATTTACAAAAATTATACAAAAATATCTGGAAATACTAAAAAGTAAATTTATTCAAAAAAATCGCCATTCGCTTCCACCACGGCCACCAGACGAGTTCGGAATCTCCTGCAACTCTTCTGGACGGTCTCCTTGTTTAAGTTGGTGAATGCTGCCATAATCCATGAAATACTATTCCACTGTAAAATTATTAGCAATGAATTTAACCTATTAATGAACTTTACCGTCGCTAAGGTAGAGAAAACACCGACTTCATACCCTATAGATGCTAGCAATCACAAAATGGAAATTGCAGGAATTCTTCTATCAATGGAAACGACGCTGGATAAAACGTTTGGATTTAGGTGGGGATTAAATGCCGAACAAATATATGTTGTTGTTTTCTGTTTATAGCACCAGACCTCAGACCTCGCATAAATGCAGTTGAACCGAGAAGCGAGACTTAGGGGATGCCTGCTTTGATTCCTTGTACCTCAAAGGAATGGTCATTAACAACTACCTTCATGGATAGACCCATTAGAACTTGCTTTGAAGAATCTTCCAGTGATTCCATAGCTAGAGAGATGGTGAGGTAATCCTCTGCACCACACCTTATCAAAAACCTTCGAAATATCTAATGCGATCGTCCTTGATATGTATTTGTCGTGGATAGATGGATAGATAGATAGATAGATAGATAGATAGATAGATAGATAGAGAGAGAGAGAGAGAGAGAGAGAGATGTGAACAGAGAGAGAGATAGTGGTGGCATCCTATCAATTCGCACCAGTTCACGCTAACCGATTCTTAAAATTGTAAAAGCTTAGCAAATCGGTTGTTGTATTTTCCGAAAATAACCTTATATATTAATAGCCGGAAATAAATATCATTGCTGTAAGTTCTGTAGCGGTTAAAAGAGAGTTTTCTGTGTGGAACATGATTTATTCTGTCAAAGGAAATCTTGTTGAAGTTAAAAAAAATTGTGGGAAATCTTCTAGTCATAAATTTGATCTTTCATTGGATCCTTGGGAATGACTGTGATTCACTTCGAATGTACGGCTAAGACAACATAACACAGCTTCTGAAAAGAAATATGATACGAACTGAATTTCAATCTGGAAATATCTTAATAAATAAATGTTTTCTATTAAATTGTCAAAATGGTTTAATTCTTTTTGATACTATAATGTGAAAATTTTCATTTGTTTCTCAGGTTGTAAAGAAAACAAGCAGAATAGATTTCTAAAGATTACCTGCCTTTACAGAACCGGTTCCTGGAAATTTGGGATGCCATTATTGGATATAGATACCAAATCAGACCGAAAATGGAATAATGTTGTCATATTTAGATGGGAGCTGCCCAGGCCTGACCTTCCAGTCTCGACAGAGTTCAACAGCGTCTCTGTGTCGTTGTGGGTGATGAATTAATTAACACCTTCCAATCTCCCTCTCACGGGCGGGATGTCGTGAATCTCTCACTGCTCTGTCGCTATTTCCATGGAAAGTTCTCAGACGAACTACATGCCTTGATTCCGACAGGGCCAACCTCCACGGCTAGGACCCGCCAGTCCACTTACATTGTCGCAAATCACCCACATTCCTTCCGTATACTAACGGTGAGAAGTAAGTTCCGCTCGAACAACTTCTTCCTGTCAACCACTTGCTCTGATGAAAAAACTCCCAATCACTGCAATCTTAACCTGTTCAGGCCTAGAGTTAACCGTTATCTTCCCCACTTATGCATATAAACTACACCTTATCGCAACCCCTAAATGGCGTGCCCCCCCCCCCGCCTTGTAAAGGGTGAGCCTTATTGTTAAAAAACGATATACATTATGATACGTCAATCACAAAGTGTGATACTTTGAGCCTAGGAAAAAAAAACTATTTTGATCCTGATCAGAACTGCCAATTCATCCTTAAATATGCCCATTATTTTTGACTTGTCTAAGATAGTATTCAGTAAACTACTGACATCATGTTCTCATCATTATATATGCTAGTATATTGTGAGTCAGGGGAAATTGTCGCCTTTTTCCTTGTCACTTCTACCGAACCTTCGGTCGGGAATGTAGCAGCTCTTATACAACACGTTCTACGGCCCGTCATCAATATTGAGTTGAAATGATCTCGAAATGAACTGCTACTTCAGACGAGGCCTGCTATAAGTGCAAATTCGACTCTGAGAAGGCGCACATTTTCTGGTAACAACACAGTACCTGATTGCCTTCACTTTGGAATTGGTACTAATCGAATTGAAACTTCATGAAGCAATAGACAGCGGGGAGGGATGTCGTAGCTTATTTCCAGCGCGGTGCTGATATCGATGCACTGGCTGCTGTGCAAATTGGTAGAGGGGGAGGGGAATAGGAGGAGAGAAAGAATTAAATTACTTGTGCTAACAATTGCCGCAAAACCTTCAGTGCAACGATATGAAATATGCGCAAATTGATACCTAACTGTAAAAGAATCAATCCATTTCAATCTGCCTCTAGATATATAAAATTATTGAAAGTGAGAGAATATGGAGAGACAGAGAGGAAGAAGATACAGAGAGAGAGGTAGGATATCAAAAAAGATAGATAGATAGATAGATAGATAGATAGATAGATAGATATTTGATAAAATAAAATATATATATATATATATATATATATAGAGAGAGAGAGAGAGAGGAAGGGAGAGACAGAGAGAGAGAGTGAGGAACAGAGAGAAAGAGACCGACAGACAGGCAGACAGAGAGAAACTAGTGCACATAGCGATTCACACTGCATGGCCACTGTGCCTCTCAATGTGACCATCAGAAGTCTTTGCCGACGAGGAAAATTGCATTGACCATCCAAATCTTGATCTCGATGTCCACCCTGTCTACGTCTATGAAAACTCTTTATCTGTTATTGTCCGTTCTAGGTCTCTCTCTCTCTGTCTCTCTCTCTGTCTCTCACTCTCTCCTCCCTCTCTCTCTCTCTCTCTCTCTATATATATATATATATATATATATATATATATATATGGAGAGATAGAGAGAAAAAGGAGAGCTGAAAAAAGAAAACAGTGAATCACCCTTTGATGGTTGAACTTATTCCACAAGTATGTATGTATGTATGTCTCTATCTATCTATCTATCTATCTATCTATCCCTCTCTCTCTCTCTCTCTCTCTCTCTCTCTAATATATATATCTATATGTGTGTGTGTGTGTTGAAGTCTCTCTCTCTCTCTCTCTCTCTCTCTCTCTCTCTCTCTCTCTCTCTTTCTAGATCTCACTATATATTTATTCCAATTGACATAGAATTCCGACGGATTTGATTGCCTTCATTTTCGTTCAACTACCCTTGCGACATGCATGAATCCGAATCTATCGCTTTCCCCCAGGTATGGGTTAAATATCACACAGCAGTAACGTAACTCTGGCGATGCCATTAAAATGATTACGGCGTTCACATTAACTGCGGTGCGGTGTCGTAAACTCGTTAATCTCCTTGTGTTCTAAAGATTAGGTTCGCCTGGGTGAACGTACAACAGTTCACTTCCTCATTGCTTATACTACAGTAAGAAAAATTTGGGGCCATCCTGCATTTCTTTGGAAAAAAAACACCTTAAAATGAAATATTGCTGAATTTGTTAAGAAGAAAATTTCAGTAAGTATATTTGCTTTTATTTTTTAGTCTTTCTCATAGCGCCTCTTACGACCAAAAAGATCAATTCAGACTGTTCACAATTCAAATAATTGTTAAGTTATCAATATTTTATATGAGAAACATTATAATTTCTTTTCACCACTAACCCCTTAGTAGATTTTCCGAAATTACGAAAAGGGCTGAAGATTTGATTCGGTTCAGGCGAGTCTAGAAAAAGAACAATATCATTAGATTTTGCAAAGACATGCTATCCTAACTTGTCTAATAATTGGAGAAAATCACCTTTCAACTAGACAACAATCCAAAACACTCGTTTAGATTATATCAACATTACCTCGCGTCAAAAAAAATGGAACAAAATGTTGAAAATTATAACTTAGCTAATCAGTTTTGACTTATTTCCCATTGAATTAATATGGGATGAATTGGAATGGAGAGTTCGAAGAGAATACCTAACGCGTGAGAGTGAGCGTTTTCGATGCTTTATGAACGTTTGTGAAATCTGCTATTTACTTTTTTTCGAAAAATGTTGGAAAAATGCCAAGAATTTGTAAAGTAATAATTATGTCAGGTCGAGGTTTTATTGACGAAAACAAAATATGATGCTGTTTTATGATATTTTTTTATAGTTAAGTCCTTGTTATTGTCAAAATAGAAGAAAATACATTTTAGTTACAGAAATATTATCTTTTACTTTAAAAAAAAGTACAAAATATCTCATTTTAATGTGTTTTAAAAATACAGGGTGACCACAAACTTTTCGCCTGTAACTTATGTAAAATACGTAATTAAATATATATATATCTATAGACCTTTTGTTCAGGTAGCATAACGATTATCTCAGTGGAAAGTAGATCAGACGCGCCAAGTTCTGGTCTAGCTTGTTTCGTCCACTTCATTGTAATACTCTTTAGAAAGTCATCAATCATACTCTTCTTTCTCTTTGCTCTATATGATAAATAAAAGAGTAGACTGATTTCTCTAGCCTTTGGTGGTAACCGGCCTACAAAAAACACTGAATTCAAAACTGTTATGGTAATTCAAACATATGAAAGGAAAGGAAGCTGTGGAGAATATTGATCGCTTACGTCTTGAAATGAACATTGCATTACAAAAACTCCTTTTAGAGAATATAGCCACTGTGGCTTCAGTCACAAGTAGTTTCGAACTGGATTTGCTAATTCTACGAAATTCACCATTTGTCTCTAACTATCACGAGGATGACTTAAGAAAAGCTTGGAGCATATTTCTTCCAAAATGAACTTTGGACAATTTCTGACGGAATTCCCTCCTTATCTAAGAAGGACTATTCGCAACTTGGGAAAGTCGATCAATAAAAAGGAAGCTGTGGAGAATCTTAATCTCTTAAATCTTGAAGGAACATAGCATTATAAAAACTCCTTTTGGAGCATATAGCTACTGTGTCTTTAGTCGTAAGTAACTTCGGAGTAGATTAACTAGTTTTATTGACAGCATTGTTTTAGATTCAGATTTGGCCTTCTAGACTGGTTGCCAGATAAGGCTAGATAACACATAGTAGCCTGCTATTTGGATGTGAGAGTAAAGTGGTGGTTATCAAGTGCAGTATTCAACTTCCAGATAATTCCGTCGCGTTGGCATTTGCACAAACACCACTGGAAAATGTATGGACCCATCTCTTCTCACCAATTACGAGCAGAGTATATCATTGGGTAGAAACAAGTCTAGTAAAAGGGTAAACTTAAAACTATCCGGAGTACGAGGTTGGCATCCCGCTCTCACCCTTTCACCATTGAAACTGTTAAATGTAGCCGTCTCTTCTACACCAATAGCTTCATATCTCGCACCTCTCGCTTGTGGAACTCCCTTCCCTTTTCCTGTTTCCCTGATAGCTATAATCTCCAACTATTCAAAAGAAATGTCAATCGACATCTCCAGTTGCCTTGATCTATCCACTATCCTTCTCCCCATCATTTCCTCTATCACTCCTATCTACTCTCGCTCCAAATCCTCTGTAATCTCTTGCGTACTAGGTGCTTCCCGCCATGCTTGGGGTGAAATGCTTAAAAAAAAAAAAAATAAATAAAAAATAAAGGGTCTTAATCAATCTATCTTGCCTTAAACATATCTACTCTTGCTACGGTCGCAGTAGGGTGGCATTTTTAACTTCATGGGTTATAAGACTTGTGACGTGACTGCCGACGACTCTACTATTTAATTCATAGTGGGGGGAAGAAGAAATTGATTCGGGCTTTTACCAATAGCATTAATATGAAATGAGTACCGGCATCGTCAGCTGGAATGTGAATTTGACTTACCTACACCATTTTTTATGCTACTAGCATTTAAGCCGCTCTCACCTCACTAAAGCGGGCAGTTTTATAGGCGTAATGTTTTTCCTGTTATATTTTATAGGCTTTTTCCCCCCTAAAGGGATTTTGCTAAGTATGGTCACGTTTTTTTTCTGTTCGTGAAAAGAAGAGGCAAAAGAGGCGATCATTAAGCGAACAGGAAAACATTTCTGCATATTTCGTAACGCGCCAATGAAAGTCCAGTTCTTTACATTGTTAATCGAAACTGAATCTCTGGAGGTGCATCTCCGCTTCTCAAAAGCTTAATGGAATGTTTATTGGATTCTGCAATGGACGAACAACAAAGACGCCCACCCTCGCGCACGCTAACACTTAACACGATCAGCGCGAAGGGTGACAGATCTTGAAAATATATGCATCAAGATGGACAATAAGGCTTCGGAAATAGCGGCTTTGAAATCTGAATACAAACCCTAAACACGTGAGTCGAATTCATAGCGATTGAAAATATATTTCACCTACTTATTAAACCAGTAAACATAGTCACTACTAGCTGAAGTATTCGTCTACTCGATGTACTTTGCAAAAAGTCAAGAATTAGATTGCAACTGTGACTCGTGGAGGTTTCTCTCGTCTTATAATAGTGAGGTAGAAATACACTGTCGGAATACACACATACAGAATATATATATATATATATATATATATATATATATGTATATATATATATATATATATATATATATATATATACAGATAGATAGATAGATAGATCGATCTTTCTAGATCGCTCGATATATTTATTCCAATTGACATAGAATTCCGACGGAGTTGGTTGCCTTCATTTTCGTTCAACTACCCTTGCGACATGCATGAATCCGAATCTATCGCTTTCCCCCAGGTATGGGTTAAATATCACACAGCAGTAACGTAACTCTGGCGATGCCATTAAAATGATTACGGCGTTCCCATTAACTGCGGTGCGGTGTCGTAAACTCGTTAATCTCCTTGTGTTCTAAAAATTAGGTTCGCCTGGGTGAACGTGCAACAGTTCGCTTCCTCATTGCTTATACTACAGTAAGAAAAATTTGGGGCCATCCTGCATTTCTTTGGGGAAAAAAAACACCTTAAAATGAAATATTGCTGAATTTGTTAAGGAGAAAATTTAAGTAAGTATATTTGCTTTTATTTTTTAGTATTTCTCATAGCGCCTCTTACGACCAAAAAGATCAAATTTATATTTGTCTGTTCACCATTCAAATAATTGTTAAGTTATGAATATTTTATATGAGAAACATTATAATTTCTTTTCACCATTAACCCCTTAGTAGATTTTCCGAAATTACGAAAAGGGCTGAAGATTTGATTCGGTTCAGGCGAATCTAGAAAAAAAACAATATCATTAGATTTTGCAAAGACATGCTATCCTAACTTGTCTACGCATAATTGGAAAAAAATCACCTTTCAACTAGACAACAATCCAAAATACTCGTTTAGATTATGTCAACATTACCTCGCGCCAAAATATATATATATATATATATATATATATATATTTATATATATATATATACAGAGAGAGAGAGAGAGAGAGAGAGAGGAGGCGAGAGAGAGACTGAGATAGATAGATAGATAGATAGATAGATAGATAGATAGATAGATAGATAGATAGATAGATTGATCGGATGTAACAGCCAAATTGCCCAAATCGTTTAACAGAATAATGTTTAATATCTCAACAATCACTAAAGCAATTGAGTTTCTTTTTTCCAGGCTTTCAGATAAGATGATTAACCATCTTGGCACCATTTGTCGTACGAATCATT